GAATAAAGAGTAATCAAAAATTTAACAATAGTGCAGAAGCAAACAGTAAGCCAACGCAACAGTAAACAAAGTGTTTTAATGAACAGCTTCCCACAAAATAGTCTCATGCTAGGCTGATATCATTGAAAGGACAAAGCAAACCTAGTAAATTTTAAATTCGAAAACATAAGCAAGTACCTGCTATGTGTTCTCTTTAACCAATAAGCCAATGTAAGAATCCCGATATTCCGATCATACCGTTCAATAACTGCATACTGACACATTTCACCACTAAACACTTGGGTTGCCTGGCAAAATAGCACATCCAGTTGTAACGTTTGTGCAAATGAATGGAGCAAATTATATACTTCTTCAAGTGGCTGGAAAAAATATGCAACGGATATACGAATTAAAATGAACAATTAATTTAAATCTCTTACATGCGGTATGAATTAGGCCAAGGAACTGAACACAGCGGAGACTCTTTTAAAAAAATAAACGAAAAATAAAAAAAAATTCTATTACTTCGCATGTTCAAGCTCTAGGTATTTTTAAATTTTGCATATAAATTGATTAATACCAATGAGATTTTTCTGACCGCAAGGATTTTCTTTAGAATCATTCTACACATGGAAATCAACACAACTATTAATTCATATCTCTACAAGCGTTTGTTAATAAAAATCAAAAAGTTCATAATTATGTACTGGAAATAAATAATGATGGAAAGCAAAATTTAGTTCAAATTCACAACAGTACCAACCTCCAAGCTTTTATCCATTCTCAACTGCAAAACATTATGAAGCATATTAACTTGTAGCGGATGGACCAGTTTAGTTCCAAAACCAATTTCATAATCCTCAACTAATATTCTGATGTTCAACAAAGTCCATTTTGTAGTTGGCCGCTCACCCAACAAAGTTAATGACACTTCAAATTCGCCATTAACAGTCATCGTTGCCTACAAAATTTCTCAAGGTCTTTCGCAGAACTTTCTGCACAGTTGACTTTGTTTTTGAACATTTGATATCATTTTCTACAGAAAGATTACGCAGATCATTCTGAGTTGTTTCATGAGGACATTTCGCACATGGTCTCATGTTGCAACTCCTGGATTTATACTGGTTTTCGTACTCCACATTCGAAATAAACCTTAAAACTTACCATTCCATTTCTAATCACTGTTTTCGATATGCGAGGTGAAAGTTTTGTCCCATAACTCGAAAGGCGATACTGTATGACTTGATTGAGTCGAGCTAAAACACATGCTTCTTCTCGTGGCGTTATCGGTGGATCGGGGATGAAACGATTCTGCAGGAAGATTCGACATAAGTTTCTGGTAACGATTTTTGTATTATATAAAAATTTGAAAAAGCTATACTTTTCAGCTATTTAAAAGAACAAATCATGAACTGGACTCAATGTAATGAAATATTATTTTCAACAAAATATCCCCGCAAAAAATCAAAAACTACCTTGCTCTACAGAGTTTCTGAATGCATCCACAAAAATTATTACCTTTATACACAATGGAAGCCGTGGAAATGTCCCAACTGTGAGAACATCAACAGCTAAAGCCACTTGAAAGATTGGTAACCTGGATAAAAAGAACCATAAACACATACAGTAGTTATTTTTATGAGGTTAGTTTTGATTTCACGAAATATTCTACGAAATTTATGTTTCCATACTCCTTTTTCTCCAAATTTTACTTACATATTCATATTTTTCTCATCATTCGAGCACTTAAGCAAGTTGACAAATTTTGAAAAAATGCTTTCATCGCAAAAGTAGCCAGAAATGTGAAGCAAAACATCGTAGGACAAGAAGCAGTATCCATCTTATATCACAGTCTGGCCAGTAGCTTTCAAATTTATTTTTCAAAATCAAACCAACCTCGCGAAAACAAGTTCCTCTCGTGCTAACTGTACCAGGCGATCAGCTGTATCCACGAAATATTGTGACTGCTGATCCAAGAAGTAACAAATCGACTGAAAAAAACACGAATAATAGCATGGAGAAAAAAACTTCTTTTCCACAAGAAACATTATTTGTGAACTATATGCGTCAATTAATAAAGCAATACTTACAGCACATGATTCAAACTTCTTCGACGATTTGACCCATTTCACTACTGCGAGAAGTTTGATAAAAAGTACACGTGTCGAATGTGCAAACTGTACAATGCTAATTTTTCTATCCGAATCGAGCTTTTTCGGCAGTCTGAAGTGTCAAAAAGTTGTGACCACAGCTTTACTTTTCTCTCCGTTAAAAAAAAAAGAGAAATACGAAATTATTTTGCCTAATCCGCACCGAAAAACACGCACCTCATAACGCGCAGCTTGCACGCACGTCATAACGCGCAGCTTGCATAAAAATGCATTCTTGACCAAATTCTTATACATTATTCGGCACGTTATGTGTTACAGCGATCTTTGAAATCAGTAAGCTAATATCATATTTGAACTAAACAGAAAATTTGTATTAAGAAAAATTTCGCCATCAACTGGAATTAACCAAACAACTTGAAATCCGATAGTAGCTTACAATTCGGAGAGAACGGTAAGTTCATGAAAGATTTGCTGTATGGCGAATTCAATCAGATATCCTAAAGGAATCACCGGTGGGCCGCACTTTTCCGGTACAGTTGGCAATATCGGTTTCATATATTCTTCATCGTCCATTTCGTTTTTCACCCTCTGATTTCGCTGAAACAGAACTGTTTCTTTGAATTATTGTAAAATCCGTTTCACAATTATCTCTTTTCATCCAATTATTTCTTCTCATCCAATTACTTCGCAATTTCCTTTTGAACAACATGCAATATGTAACATTCTTTCAGTATTCTCTAACTAGCAAAAAAAAAAACCATAAATCCAGGTTAAAAAAAAATATATAAATGATTAAAGATCTCTAAGGAAAAGTTTTTCTAAATAAAAAGAAATAAATAAAAACAAATTCTTGGAGATTTTTAGGTTATGATATGCTATTCTTACTAAATTTGTTAATTCTAAGTATTTTTTTGCATCGGATAAAATTTATTTTTATACATTCCAAACAAAAATTCCTAGAAAAAAAAGGAAATTATATACACTTTTACTGTAACATGGGAAAGCGAACGTTTTGCAATTTTTGATAGCCCTCAACATTCTCCTATTTAAATTAGATAGGATATCGCATCGCAGCGTGAAATAAATTGTTGCACTACTCAGAGCACGCCAAAGCTGATTTTCCAGCGTTGAGAAGAGAGAGGACTTATTGGCACGAGTGATCAAAATCAGTAACAGCTTCCTGAAGCGATCGGTTCACAAGGAATGACCAATACGAGAAACTTTCTATAACTGAAAATTCAATTACGATATGAAGCCTAACTTTCCAGTACGAAAAGTCACTAATTCCCAAATGAAAATTAGAAGTATTATGTGGTCGATAAAGGCAACCAAAGGAATAATGCCTTGAAATATTTCTTTTTAGAATTTTATTATTTGAAAGTTCTTGCGACTATACCTTATGGATACACTTCATAGGGTCGCAGACCAAATGAGGTGCTGTAAAATTATTTCTCCAAAGTTTTCTATCTACTTTATGGATTAATTCCACTACAGAAAGTGAAAGAATAAATCACATTGGACCTTATGGAAACATTTCATAGGATCACGGATCAAGCAGGTTAAAGTCATTCTTTCGAAATTACCCTATTTACTTTATTAATCAGTGTAGGTTTTTCAATCAAACTGGCACTTTATGTACCTCAAGTGGTGTTTGGAAAAGAAACGTAAGGGGAGAAATACGAAATTTAGTCGGAATTAAATACTGATGTTACGTTGTACATGACTTTTCTGTGTCAATTTTACGTAATAGCAATTGTCAATTCCGTGCTGATAGTGCAAGTGATGGGTGTGATTTGGCCCATATCTACTCACCTGGTTTTGTCCCTCCCCTGAAGAAAGGAATGATTTAGATAGGAGAGCACGGGAGAGCACCCGACAAGCATAGGGCCAAATACAACGCCGCCAACGGCAATTAGCCAATGGTATAGCGCTGCAACAGTATGAGCCATTTAGGTTTGAACTAAAATAGCCAAAAATCAACAAATGTCCGTTGCAAATTTCCTTATTATTTTGCAACTTCTCCTTTTCTTCGTACTATTTTTTTTTATTTTTCGTCTGTTATGCACACGTCAACACATTTTATTAGAATAAGGGAGTGGATAGACAGATAGTTTGAATAGAGAAAGAACTGAACTGTCTAACACAATTTTATCCATAAAATATTTAGCATTTATTCCTTTTTTTACTAATTGGCTTTTTCTTTTCCCTCTCTATCATTAGCACTATGCATCGATTTTGTTATCATATCTAGTATGCTCAAGAGCAACTTGTACTCAAACCTGCTGGAACATAGCAATATAGCGGAAAGTTGGAGAGAATTGAAAAAGGTTAGAGTACAAAGATGTGAAAGGCAATATAGCGGAGTATATAAGGGGAGCTGAAGAAGTGGCACAATTCAGTTTGTGGTGGCGGAGAGCTGCTCCATTATTAGAATGAATGTGTGAGGGGCGTACGTGACGTGCTGCATGATTAGGCGATGTGTGTTGACGTGACGTGGTTTACGTGTTATTGATTCTTACATTCTTGTTCTCTTTCATTATCCTGTTTTTCTCTTTTGTCTCTTTGAAAATGTGACCAACCGTAGTCAAATTTCGTCTGCATTGTTGTGGGGTGTGGAGTTTGTTATTATTTCGCTACTGTCGGATTTTTTCTTTTTTTTTTGTGATTTTGTGGAGAAAAAAAGATGGAGGGAAAGATAGAGAAGTAGTTGGTAGAGAATGAAAATAGTTCGAAAGAAAATGTATTGCTTTTTTTGGTGTGGTGGTGGTGGTTGTGGAACGAAGGGAATACGGTGCTGATAAAGAGCTGATTCAGCTGACAGCTAATTAGGAGGAGGAGGAAGAGAACGGCGACGACGACGAAGCGAAAAATTTGGAACGGTGGTTTTGTGGGGATGTGAAGTGTGGAAGGATGACAATTGTCGTTTTCCTCATCGATTCCAGTGCCTCAATGGCCCAAAAGACTTATCAGGGCACCGCGATGCTGGATGTAGCTCGGTCCATCGTTGAATTGATCCTCAAGGTAATTCCCTCCCTGTTGTTTTCTCATCATTTCTCACGGTTGCAATTCAAACTCTCACATAACGGGGTACTTTCTAAACTTTCTGGAATGTTCTTATATGTTTTACAACGAATATGCTGGCTTGGGGAGCATTATTTGCTGCTTGAAAAATTTCAGACTTTTCTTTTCGAATTCGATCTTTTTTTCAACTTCTGCTTTTCCGAACAATATTAGTAATTGGAATTCTTGTAACATTTTTTACCTTTCCATTACTTTGCTATTTAAAGTAAAGAGAACAGAACTATTGCAGCAACGGGTACGTGATGCAAGTGCACGTGGTGATCGATATATGCTGATGTCGTTCGAAGATTTTCCTATGAATGTAAAGGTTCGTGAAAACTGGACTGACAGTGGTGGTGATGATGTAAATCCTCAAGTGGCAGCATTGTTTCTGGATTGAAAATGAGAGTGCGGTGTGGGAAAAAAGTTTCAGGAAACTGTGGAGAGAAAGGGAGAAAGAGGAAGGAGAAGCGCCAAAAGACATCATCAAGAATGGCACACAATTCTTGCATTTTAAATGAAAAATTAAAAAAGGAAAACAGTTATATGAAGTTGAAATCCTCATATCTCGTAGGCTGATCGTAAAAATTCATAAAAATAAAATTATGAATAAAATAAGCCTGAACCGCTGCCACCGTCATTAGAGATTCCGGAGCAGTGTGTTCGCCAGTTTTGAGCTCGTCCGAAGAGTTCATTGAAAAGCTGCCTGCTTCGGAGTGGAAAGTACCATCGGACGCATGGAGCGATCATTGGACTGTGTTTAAGGGGAAAAGTTCCAAGTTGTGATGCTGAATCCACATGGCTACAGATAACTGCAGCTGTACTATTTATGGGATTCGTAGTCTGATCAGTGCAGCCGAAGTTCCGAACAAGATTTAACCGGATTTAAAATTGAAGGAAATTTTTTACAATTCGCAAATTTTTGGAGCGTAGTAAAGTTTGAAGCGTAATGTCATGCGGTTGTGTATACCCATCCTTGCTGATGTCTTTGGGTTTGGTCGATTCAGTTAAGCAAGAACTGTGAAGTGCAAGGCAGTCATTGGGGCGCTTCTCCCATTCCCACGGTCAGGGGAAGAGAAATGTTATCACCTATGATAGAAAGTATGAACAAAATTAGGGAAGACTGATGTGAAACACATAGGGAAGCGAAAAGGCTAGATTGGTTGTAAGGATTGGTGGGATTTCGTGGTTTGAAAGTAGAATTGAGTTGGAAGGAAATGAATGAGGAGAGAATTCAGGATAAGAACAAAGTGTTAGTGGTATTGTGACTCTCTAACGCTACCGCCAGCGAGTACTGGTGAACGGTATGCAATTGCTTCACAAATATGCACATATTTTGTGATGAAATATGTTTACTCAACGAATAAGAACGATTACAAAGGATGCACTGCTGGAATCTAACACTCTCATCTTTATTTACTGAACAAATGACCTACAATTTTTGAATAATCCGTGGAAGTATGGACCTACAGAAATCATTGGAACACATTCGGTCTATTGTTAGATAAGCGTGGAAGGAAATGGGGATTCATTCACCATCTTATTGAAAAGATTAAAAGGGAGTAGCACATCGGCACTGATATTTTTATGGTTGCTGTTGGAATTATCACTGCTCTATAAATTCTTCATTGAAAGAAAGGTTTAGGAGTTCCGAATTTTAAAATGGGTGGACGAACCACCCCTGATTTTTGTTAAACGTGGTTCCAGTTGAGTCGAAATACACCAATCAGAGCCGGTTGACCTGAAAGGTGTGCGAATCTTGTGGAAGGAATCGGTGCTGCTCTAGAAATAGCAGTTGTTCCATTTAACTCTATTGTAGCTATGTAAGACTACATTGTGAACTGTGGCTGCGATAGATATATAACAAGAAAGGGATTGGTTTGCAAAAGTACAGGGCAAGAGAGAGTGGGAAATCAGTGGTTTAAAATTTTTAAAACAAATGATACTGTGAAGAAATCTCATTCCAAAATTCCCAGGTGCCAGTGGTCGGGATTTTCAAGTTTTATTTCTTCATTATCATTCACTCAAAACTTATCCGGAGTTTACGTGGTATATATTAAATATATTCGATGTATGCATAGCACAGCCAAGTTATGGATGAAATGGCATATTTCGCTAAACAAGCATATACAATGAAGGGTTTTTAATTGAACAACGGCAGCCTAGAGCAAGCAAACAGTGCTATTTATTTTAATTAGGATGTACGTTTATTGTAAGTTATTGATTATGCGTTATTTATGAATTTTTGTTTTAGGCGGGATGGCGAGAAAGCCAAAGTGTCTTCCAGGAACAATTAAAAATGCTGAAACCGCATGGTCTGACGTCTTTTGGTACTGCTTTAGGCTCAGCATTAAGGTATTTATTAGGATCAGACATTTGAAGTGATTATCAATATACTTGTTTATTTAGGTTTCCATGATTGAAGGCTGCAGTCTTGCAGTTACATAGTGAGTGATTTGTTGGTCAGAATACAAATTGTTTGATTAATGTTAACTGATATAACTTCGAACTTGACTGTGTATTGTTTCAAATTCTTAATTTTTGTTCAAGATTTGTGAATGTGAATAGACTGCAAACCGGTATTGATAATTTTGGTGCTGGTCGTTATCCATTTTATATCGAACCAGTTGTTATAATTAGTATAACTGATGGTAACTGTTTGACATGTCCTCAGTTTGGAACTGTTAATGAGGTAAGGCTTCGTCATTGGATAATTTTTTTTTAAGTTTGCGCTACATGGTTATAATGAGGTGATAGGGTAGGATGGCTAAGCTTATAGATTTTTTTTTAATCATATGCACCAAATACAACAGCTCTGTTCATTGTTTAATGAGAAATGTCGTGGTTTTGGCACAATTTGCAGTCTGCAGATAGGGTAAAAGTTTCTTACTGCCTATATTCAATGATTGATTTTATAAATATGATTTAGGAGTAGAGGAAATTTCAGCATGAGATGAAATATGTACAATACTAATGTATTAATTGATCGTTTTGTTCCAGATCAAAGTTGCTAAGCCTGCAGCAATTGGTAACGAACTGATTGAAGAGCCGTTTAGATGGGATCAACGTCTCTATTCAATAGTGTTGCGTCTCAGTGGTAATACTCCTGTGGGAAAAGTTTCGCCTGGAATGAATATACCTTCCGATAATAGTCCTATCGATGCGATGTGTATTGCAACCGGAGGTAAGTAGTCATTATTCAGAAGGCAATTTCTTTGTTATTTATAGTAAAAGGCGGTTTTAATAATTCCTTTATTTCCTTTGTGTGGTCAATTCCCAACTTTCGTTTGAAATTTGATTCTCTGTTTTGTTTTATTTGTTTTCATATGGATTATTTTTAGTACTTGTAATTTATAGTAGACCTTTTTTCTTATCAGCAGCAATATTTATGGATAATTTTAGGACGGTCATATTGCGTGTCGTCGCACAAGATGCTGGCTGTGTGTGTTGAATCGGTCGTTCAGAAACTGCAGCAACAGGGAATCGTTTTGCGTTTCGAGAAATATGGACCAGATCCAATATTGAATCCCGGTATTTTTCGAAATTTTCGGAGATTTTATTTTTTGAATTTCAATATATGGGCCTAAAGAAATGTTTGCCTCATAAATTCACTCGGATTCTACTCCATAAGTTAAATAATGTTTTTTTTTCTTTTTCAGATCGAACAAACGGTGTTGTTGAAAACGGAAATTCGAAAAAAAATGGTGAATTAGCATCTGTTGGTGGTAAATCATTTAATTCAGATAATTGGCATAATGTTACTTGTACCGTTTACTCACGTGCTTCTCGATCATATCCCGGTCACTGGCCTATTCCAGAGGCGTTTTGGCCTGATCGCAGCATGTAATTTTTTCTTCCTTAATTTGCAATCACAAAGCATATATGTATATACTGTTGTATGTTCGCATTTTGAGAGCAGAATTCAAGATGCGTTGTATCCCTTTTTCAACCATTAGTTGAATTTAGTTCTGACTTTTTTCTGCTAATACTTTCGGTTGCAGGATAAGTTTACCACCACGAAAAGCTCATCCTGTGATCTCATTTCGTTGTGAATCTTGTGAACCTCTTGTTTGTCAGGATTTCCCATTTGATAAATATGAGCTTGAACCTTCACCTTTAACGAAGTTTATATTAGAGCGTAAACAACCTGGAGTCTGTTGGCAGGTATAATTTTGCTTTTTCCCGCTTCGAATCTTTATTTTCATTTCGAGAAATTTTATTTATTTCTGTCGCAAATCTTCGAATAAACACTATAATCATTACTCAATCACATTAAAATATTACAAATTTATTCTAATTTTCATACTTTGTTTCTAATCTTCCATCCTTTCCTTTAGGACCACTTTTTGAAGTGCTTATCTTTTACGTTAAGATTATCTTCTGATGTGAA